TTTGCTAAGATTTTGTTGAGGATTTTAGGAGCTATGTTCATCAAGGTGATTGGTTTGTAATTTTTATTCTTTGTAGTGTCTTTATCTGGTTTTGGAATTAGCATAATGTTGGTTTCATAAAAAGAGCTTGGAAATTTTCCTTCCTTTTAAATTCTTTTGGAATAATTTGAAGAGGATGGGTATTAGTTCTTTTTTGTATGTTTGGTAAAATTCTCCTGTAATTCCATCATGCCCAGGACTTCTATTAGCTGGAAGTTTTTAAATTATTGCTTCAATTTTATTGGTTGTTATTGGCCCACTCAGGTTTTCTGATTTTTCCTGGTTGAGTTTTGGAAGGTTGTATGTGTCTAGGAATTGGTCCATTTTGCCCAGGTTGTCCAGTTTGTAGGCATATAGTTTCTCATAGTATTTGATTACAATTCTTGGTATTTCTTTGGTGTCCATTGTTATATTGCCTCTTTCATTTCTGATTTTATTTATTTGGGTCCTCTGTCTTTCTTTCTTGATGAGTCTAGTTAAGGTTCATCAATCTTGTTTATATTTATAAAGAACCAGCTATTGGATTTATTGATCTTTGTCCTGTTTTGTTTTGTTTTTCTCTTTTTAATCTCTATGTCATTTATTTCTACTCTGATATTTATTATTTCATTCCTTCTACTTCCTCTTGGCTTTCTGGCTGTTCTCTTTCTAATTCATTTAGTTTTAGGGTTAGATAGGTCATTAGTCTTTTTTCTTGTTTCTTGAGGTAGGCGTGTAATGCTATGAACTTCACTTTCAGGGCTGCTTTTGCCGTATTGACATGTTTAGGGTGGTTGCGTGTTCAATTCTATTTGTTTCCAGGAAGTTTTTAACTTCTTGCTTGACCTCATTGGTAAATCATTCATGGTTTACTAACATTCTATTTAGTCTCCATGTATTTGAGTGTTTTTGTTTTATTGTAGGTGATTTCTAACATCATGCCATTGTGATCCTGGAAGATGCTTGGTATTATATAAATCTTCTTGAATTTGTATAAACTTGTTTTTTACCCTAATATGTAGTCTATCTTTGAGGATGTTCCATGTGCAATTGAGAAGAATGCTTTGGGGAGAAATGTTCTGTAAATACCAGTTAGATCCATCTGATCTAGTGTGTCATTCAAGGCCTCTGTTTCCTTGTTAATTTTTTGTCTGGAAGTTCTATCCAGTGATGTCAGTGGGGTGTTAAAGTCCTACTATGACTGTATTGCTGTCAATCTCTCCCTTAAAGTCCATTAAGAGTTGTTGTTTTTTTTTATAGTGCTCTTATATTGTGTGCATGTATGTTTACAAGGGTTACATTTTCTTGTTGAATAATTCCTTTTAGTATTATGTAGTGGTCTTATTTGTCTCTTGGTATAGCCTTTGTTTGAAGTCTATTTTGTCAGATATGAGTATTGCTACCCCAGCTTTTTTTTCTCTTTCCATTTGCATGGAATATATTTTTCATTCCTTCACTCTCAGTCTGTGGGTATCTTTTGATCTGAGGTGGGTCTATTGTAGACAGCATATATATGGGTTATGTTTTCTTATCATTCACTATGTCTTTTGTTGAGCATTTAATCCATTTACATTTAAGGTTATTATTGACATGTATTTATTTACTAGAGGCCTGATGCATGAAAATTCATGCACTCAGAGGGGTCCTCAGCCCGGCCTGAGCCCTCTCACAATTCAGGGCCCCTCAGGGGATGTCCACCTGCCAGCTTAGGCCTGCCCCCCGGAGGATTGGGCCTAAGCTGGTAGTCAGACATCCCTTTGGCAGCCCAGGAGCCCTCGGGGGATGTCCAATGATGGCTTAGGCCCACTCCCTGCAGTCAGACATCCTTAACACTGCTGAGGAGGTGTGAGAGGCTCCCGCCACCACCACTGTGCTCACAGCCATCAGCCCAGCTGTGGCTGAGTGGAATACCCGCTGTGGGAGCGCACTGACCACCAAGGGGCAGCTCCTGCATTGAGCGTCTTCCCCCAGCTGGTCAGTGCGCATCATAGCAACCAGTCATTCTGCCATTAGGGTCAATTTGCATATTACCCTTTTATTATATGGTATTGCCATTGCTATTTTCTTTATATGCCTATGATCATCTCTCTCTCCTTTTATTCTTCATCTTAAAGCAATCCCTTTAACATCTCTTGCATTGCTGGTTTAGTGGTAACGTACTTTTTAAGCTTCTTTAATGATTCTTTTGTCTGGAAAGCACTTTTTTTCTCCTTCAATTTTAAATGATTGCCTTGATAAATATAGTATCCTTGTAATTAGGTCCTTGCCTTTCATTACTTTGAGTATTTCATGCCACTCCATTCTTGCCTGAAGTGTTTCTGTTGAGAAGTCAGTTGACATTCTGATGGAAATTTCTTTGTAGGTAATTTTTCTCTCTCTCTCTTGCTGTCTTTAAGATTATTTCTTTGCTTTTAATGTTTTCCATGTTAATTATGATGTGTCTAGGTGTGGGTCTCTTTGGGTTCATCTTGATTGGAATTCTGTGTGCCTCCTGAATTTGTGTGACATTTTCCTTCACCAGGATGGGGAAGTTTTCTGTCATGATTTCTTTGAACAGGTTCTGTGTTCCTTGCTTTACCTCTTCTCCTTCTGGTATTCCTATAATGTGTATGTTGTTACATTTCATGTTGTCCAAGAGTTCCCTTATGCTATCTTCCTACTTTTTAATTATTTTTTCCATTTGCTGCTCTAATTGGGTATTTATTTCTATCTTGTCTTCCAGATCACTGATTCAATCCCCTGCTTCTATCCAATCTATTTTTAATACCTTCCAGTGTGTTCTTGATGTCATATATATCATTCTTCATTTGTCTGGTTCTTTTTCATGCCTTCTATTGCCATTTTTATGCTCTTGTAATTTTCACTAAGTTCTTTAAGAATCTTTATAACCATAACTTTGAACTCTATGTCTGACAGGTTGTTTGCCTCCATTTCATTTAGTTCTTTTTCTGGAGATTCCTTCTTTTGTCTCATTTGGGGGCTGCTTCTTTGTCTCCCCATTTTAGCTGTCTCTTTGTATTTGCTTCTATGTATTAGATAAAACTGCTATACCTCCCAGTCTTTGTGGGATGCCTAATGTAGAAAGTGTCTGGAGGGGCCCAGTGATGCAGTGTCTTTGTTCACCTGAGTTGGATGCTCTAGGAATGCCCCCTGTGCTCTTTATTTGGCTCTCCTGTTGTAATTGGGGCTTGATTATTGATGTTCTATTTGTGGGGAGGATATACCCTTCAACCGGCTGACAATGAGGTTGGGGTTAACTGGATTTTGCTCTGATGTTATTGAATCTGGTCCCTTGGTGTGTCTATCCTGGGCCTCCTGGGAGAATCTCTAATGCAGGTCAATGTGAGTCACTGTCTCTTTCTGCCTCTGGCAATCTGATTGAGAACTGAGAGGTTGAAGCCCCAGTAGTCCAGTGGTCAGGGACTCCTTAGCCCAGAGGCTGGGTCATATCTTGATTCTCCCTGTTCTGAGTTGTACTCCCTTCCCTAATGAATCTGGTCCCACAGGTGTCAGCTGCAAGTGCTCTGGGTCAGCGGAGGCACTAGCACCAGGGGTGAATGTCCCCTGCAAGGTCCTGCTGGCATGCAAATCATAACCATTTCTTTTTAATGCCAAAGGCCTTGTGTTTTACAATGTATTACTATGGTACCTATAATTCTGAGGCATTTTTTCTGTATCTATAAGAGCTGAAAATGTGGTCATAATATATTGTTTCCCTCTATAGACTCACCTATCTGTTTGTTATCAGCTCTCACTACTTTGTCCCTTCAAATCTATTTTCCAGCTGTATACATATAGTATATGAAATAGAACATGACATTGTTTATATGCATTTATCAACAAATCCATAAATATATTTTAATTTTATAAAATATCATATTCTTTCTTCTTTAATTCTTATTCATGGCTATGTTTTAATGATTTTAGGGAGTGGGAAGGTAAAGAGAGAGAAAGAGAAAAACATCAGTGTGAGAAACCTTAATTGGTTGCTCTCATATGTGCCCTGACCAGAGATTAAACCTGCAACCTAGCTCTGTGCTCTGACCAGTAATCAACCCTGCAAACTTTTCTATATCAGAGGGTGCTCCAACCAACTGAGCCTCCTGAAAAAGGGTCATATTCTCTTTTAAGTCCCATTTCTTCTATCCAATTTTCTGTCTTCCCAGAACGAATTCAATTTATACATCTCATTGCGGAATCCTTGTATTTCTTTTTCTATATGGTATTATGGTTTATTTTTCTCGTTATAATCTACTCTATTTTCTCGTCTGGAAATCTCTAATTTGTCACTGATAAATTTTCAGTATTTATCAGTGTCTTAAACATTATAGTTGCTCAATAAATGCACTCTGGTTCTTCAAAATATGTATTAACATGGTATTGCTTTTTAAAAAATCAAAGTTTAATTAGGAGTAACTTTTGCTACCTTAAGTAAATATAAATGTTATCCTCATAAGACTGCTACTTGTTGTTTTTTAAAAATGCATAATAAAACCTGTAATAATACGGTTGTATTTTTTTTGAATGGTTAATGTTTACAGATAACTTATGTGCTTAACAGCAAACCCTATTTGTCTAATTAAAAATAAAGGTTCTAAAGATGTGGTAGGCAAAAACGGATTATGCTTATTTGTCCTAGTCAGTGTTTGAAAAAATATACAGGTTTGTCTGTTTTTGCTAAGTCTATAATTATATTTGAGAAAACAAACATTCCTTTTGATTGGCAGTAATAACAGTTCAAAGTACTGTTGACTCACAGAAGAAAAATCAATTTTATTAGCAACTGATTACGATCTTTTGCTTTAAATGAAAGAAAATTTAGTACATTTTACCATTAGAAGCATTTGAGTAAAGCAAAATGAAAATGTTCATTTTTCCATGGAAATCCATTTTCTAGTAAAAATCAACTCAGAACTAATAGTTAATTTTCAGTTAATAATTTTTATTATTTGAATTGACTTGTCTCTTTAGTTTATGTAACATCATGTTGGTTCAGGTCGCATTTCTATTTCTTCTGGTGATGAATCACCTGACCACCCTGGATACAAATAATGGTAGAAGAGAAGCATAAAACCCATTGATAATAAGTAAGCTGTAATGAGGTGCGTGGCAATTAATGAGTCACAGCAATTCAATAAAGATCTCTCGCCAGTAAACTTAAATATCAATACCATCATTACATTTTCTATTAGCCGAATGCCGTAGTGAAGGATTCTATGACTCGCCGTGTGTTTCTTATCAATTAATCCCTCACTTGACAATTGCAGATTCACTCCTGACCAGCAAAATAAGTTGATTGCAGCATTTAGTACAGTGATCATAATAAGTATCAGTATTCTACCCGTTTGACTGACAATTTGGTTAATGTTTTTAGGAAGATGAGCTCCATTTATCAAAAACTCCACCCATGGTATAAGCAGTGATATTGAAAACGAGACAATTATAAAGGGCATGCTCTTCAGTTTCAGAGATCCAATAAAAAGTACCAGAATCACTACACGTGAGGTAATCTCCAAAGAACGCCAGATCATGACGCAGATTAATTCCACAAGATGTAGCTTAATATCAGTATTATCATACTTGAGCTGCATGGCCAGTATATTGCAGTGAATAGCGCCATAAGTAACTGATATTAGGGAAAATACCATCAGCATTTCTGTTAAAAATAAACATTGAAATGTTAGAGAATTTCCTTAATAAATGATGACAATATTCTATTCTAAACTGGGTATTTTAAGATAAGTACCTCTCTACCACTTTTTTATAGGTTGGGAATGTATTTACTTTTTCAAGGAATAGATACTTAGTCATTTTCAATAATCAGAAATAGAGCAAATATGTTAATACAATACATATGTCCTCTCCTCAAAAAATAATGAGCTAATATGTTTACAAACATATACACAAATTCCCTATAAATAATGATACAGATGAGATTAGGAAGATAGATTTCATCCTACCCTCTATGTGATAGAAGGCTGTTTAAATTTTATTCAAATTGAAAAGCTATTAGGAATCTTTAAAAAGGAGAGTTACATCACCTGATTCAACAAAAATATAATTGTGCTTTATGGAAAGCTTGGTAGAAAGCAAGGATACAAAGCAGAAGGCTAACATATGATAGGTGCTTTAGACCCTTCAAAAATATGTTGCAAGGTTAAAAGGTAAAAAGAAAATCTGAAAATTGAGCTGATAGGCTTTGCTGACTCAACGGATCAGATGTATGAAATTAGAAGTCAATAATTCAGGTATTTAGATATATAAGTGTTAAAGAATATTATGAGAAATAAAATTTTTAAAAAGAAAAATTAATTTTAACACCAATCTTTCAAAAAATTAGACAAATGAGCACATACAAAATAATTTTATAGAGAAATCAAATACTGTTTAAATAATATTAAAATAAATTTTGTTGAAAGTAAAGGTGAAAAATCTTTTTAAATATATATATGTCATGTACAAAATAATTCACACTAGTTTCTCTGAAAACATTCTACAAACATAATTTAATTAGAAGGGAAATAAAATCAAGTAGTAATTCAAAATGTAAATTAAATTAGAAAATCAGAATTCAAATTATACACCAGTTAGAAAATAAAACACGAACATTGCCCTGATACTTTGAGGAATGGTCAAAATGAAACTCTGAAGATATTGAGGACCTTAACTTCATTTATGAGGAAACAAGATTGAAAAGAAAATAATTTAAAATTCAATGTTAGGAGATTAAAAATGGCGGCAGAGTAAGAGGATGCTGCATGGCCATGCTCCCAGGAACAAGCTGGAATTACAACTGAAACACGAGAAGGCTTCCTGAGTAATCAACGGAAAACTCACAGGAGAGAACCCTGATACCCAAGGACTGAAGGTGGAGCGGGCATAGAGACTGGTAGGAGGGGCAGAGATGTGACCCACAGAGGGGAACTGAAGTCCCAGAGAGACATCTCAGCTGGTGGGGGGGGGGGAGGTGCCACTGAGAATTCTGGGATCTAATCCCGTAACTGGGCTCCCCAGCAGAGAGCACCAAACTGAGGAAGGTATCCACATAACATCAAGCTGTGAAAAGCAGTGGGGTGCTATCTGCCAGGGAGTGGCAGCTGAAAGTTCAGGCACCCTCTTAAAGGGCCAAGGCACAAACATTCCCTGTGGAGCCATCCACCTTGTGCTCTGGAAGAGGGAGGGTGAAGTGGACTGGAGCTGTGAGAGCAGAAGCCAGCACTGGGGGCTCAGGGGACAGAGCTCAGAAGGCAGACACCCCAAGTCTCCTTGGCTCAGTCATTCCCTCACACAGCCACATAGACATCTGCCTTGCCTCAGGGGATAGACATCTGCCTTGCCTGGGGGTATAGACATCTGCCTTGCCTGGGGGAAAGACAGTTGACACACCCTATTGGAAAACACCTTGCCCTGAGGCCACTTAAGAGATTAAAAGTAAAAATTCCAAGGAGTAGCAGCTGCTTGTGTAGCCCACCCCCATCCAAGGAACAGCAGCCTCCTGATCACCACACCCTCTGTCTGAGGAACAGCAGCAGTGTGTGAAGCCTCCCCCCTACCAGCCAGAGGATCCACCACAACTGTGAACAGCACCCACCAGAGGAGCTGCTACAAACTGAGGAGCAGCTCCTACCACAGCTGCCTGAGGAGCAACTGCAGCCTGAGGAGCCACTGCCACCCAAAGAGCAGCCACTGAACAACTCAACATCTAGATATGGCAGTATGATCAAACATGGATAGACAAAGAAACCCCCAAAGGAAAGAAAAGGAGAACGTGCCAGAAAAGTAGCTAAGTGATACAGAGGCATGCAACATGACAGAAAAAGAATTCAGATTAAGGGTCCTAGAGTGCATAAACCGGGTGGAGGAAAAAATCAACAACTTATGCAAGAAGCAAGAAGAAACAGATGAAAAAAATCAATAAATTATGTAAGAACCAAGAAGAAATGAAGGGTGATATAGCTGCAATAAAAAACACCATTGAAAGTTTCAACAGTAGACTAGGAGAAGCAGAGGACCGAATTAGCGAATTAGAAGACAGGGAAACAAAACACACCCAAACTGAACAGCAATTGGAGAAAAAAATTAAAAGACAGGAGAAGAGCCTAAGGGAGCTATGGGACAACATGAAACAAAACAGCATACGAATAATAGGGGTGCCAGAACAACAGGAAGAGGAACGAGGATTAGAAAACCTATTCGAAGAAATAATATCAGACAACTTCCCAAGGTGGGGAAAAAAAAAGTCACACAAGCACAGAGAGTCCCAAACAAGGTGAACCCGAAAAGACCCACACCAAGACACATCATAATTACCATGGCAAATGTTCAGGAAAAAGAGAGAATCTTACAGGCTGCATGAGAGAGATGGAAAGTTACATTCAATGGATCTCAATTAGATTATCAAATGATTTCTCAACAGAAACACAACAGGCCAGAGAAGAATGGACAGAAATTTACAAAGTGATGCAAAGCAAAGGACTGAATCCAAGAATACTCTATCCAGCAAGGCTATCATTCAAAATTGAAGGGGAAATAACAAGCTACACAGACAAAAAAAGGCTAAGGGAGTTTATCACCACCAAGCCAGCAATGCAAGAAATGCTAAAGGGACTGGTGTAAAAAGAAGAAATAAAAAGCTCAGAAAGAAAACAGCCACACAAAAAAGAAATGGCTACAAACAAGTACCTTTCAATAATAACTTTAAACATAAACAGACTAAATGCTCCAACCAAAACACATCGAGTGGCTGAATGGATAAAAAAAACATGACCCATACATTTGCTGTCTACAAGAGACCCACCTCAGAAGAAGGGACTCACACAGACTGAAAGTGAAGGGATGGAAAAATGTTTTTCAGGCAAATGGAAATGAAAAAAAAAAGCTGGGGTAGTAATACTATATCGGACAAAATAGACCTCAAAGTGAAGGCCATAACAAGAGATTAGGAAAGCCACTTCATAATACTAAAGGGATCAATACAACAAGAAGATATAACCCTGGTAAACATATATGCACCCAATGCAGGAGCACCCAAATACATAAAAAACTCCTAGAAGATATCAAAGGAGAGATCAACAACAGTACAATCATAGTAGGGGACTTTAATACACCACTGACATCACTGGATAAATCCTCTAGACAAACAATCAGCAAAGAAACAGCAATCCTAAATGACTCACTAAATCAGATGGACTTAATTGACATCTTCAGAACACTTCACCCCAAAGCCACGGAATATATATTCTTCTCAAGGGCTCATTGGACAGATTAAAAAATAGACCACATATTGGGTCACAAACGAAGTCTCCCTAAATTCAAGAAGATTGAAATCATACCAAGCATCTTCTCAGACCACGATGGCAAAATATTAGAAATTACAATAAAAACAACCCAAAATACTCAAACACTTGGAAGCTGAATAGCATGGTATTAAATATTGATTGGGTTACCAATGAGATCAAAGAAGAAATTAAAAACATCCTGGAAACTAATGACAATTAAAACACAACAATCCAAAACCTATGGGACACAATGAAAGCAATCATGAGAGGGAAGTTTATAGCTCTACAGGCCTATCTCAAAAAACAAGAAAAAATAATAGTAAATCATCTAACTCTACAACTCAAAGAATTAGAAAGAGAGCAACAAGAAAACCCCAGAGTGAGCAGAAGGAAAGAGATAATAAAGATTAGAGCAGATAAATGACATAGAGACCAAAAAAAACAATACAGAAAATCAATGAAACAAAGAGCTGGCTCTTTGAAAGGATAAACAAGATTGATGAACCTCTAGCCAGGCTCACCAAGAAGCAAAGAGAGAGGACCCAAATAAACAAAATCAGAAATGATAGAGGCGAAATAACAACAGGCCCCACAGAAATACAAATGATTGTTAAGCAATACTATGGACAACTCTACTCCAACAAATTAGACAACCTGGAGGAAATGGACATATTCCTAGAAAAACACAACCTTCCAAAACTCAATCAGGAAGAATCTAAAAATCTCAACAGGCCAATAACTATGGAAGAAATTGAAGCAGTCATCAAAAAGCTTCCAGCAAACAAAAGCCCAGGACCAGACGGCTTCACAGGGGAGTTTTACCAAACATTCAAGGAAGAACTAAAACCTATCCTCCTCAGACTACTACAAAAAATTCAAGAGGAAGGAACACTTCCAAGCTCATTCTATGAAGCCAGCATCACCCTAATACCAAAACCAGGTAAAGACAACACAATGAAAGAGAATTACAGGCCAATATCCCCCATGAACATAGATGGCCAAAATCTTCAACAAAATCTTAGCAAATCGGATCCAGCAGTACATAAGAAAGATCATACAGCATGACCAAGTAGGATTTATCCCAGGGATGCAAGGTTGGTACAATATCCACAAATCAATAAACGTGATACATCACATAAACAAATTGAAAGAAAAAAACCACATAGTCATATCAATTGATGCAGAAAAAGCATTTGACAAAATCCAACACCCATTTTTGATAAAAACTCTCAGCAAGGTAGGAATAGAAGGATCATACCTCAACATAATAAAAGCCATATATGACAGGCCCACAGCCAACATCATACTCAATGGAAAAAAACTAACACCATTTCCCCTAAGAACAGGAACAAGACAGAGATGAGCACTCTCACCACTC